TTCTCACTCCACATATACCTGCCTCTAGACGGACCCCCGGAGCATGAACTAAGATTTTCATTCAAGTTGCAACTGAAAAATTAAGTACACCGAGTCCAATTACTCACCGCTCTCTGATTTCAAAAACACATGAAACACAGTAGTGTGATAGGTTCAGTGATACAAAAAGTAAGTAAATATTGGATATCAGATCCCATTGCTTATCTAGATTTTCTCAAAAAAGATTGATGTTACTTATTTGAGGGTTGCATTTTTTTTCATTACATATCAATTTGAAGAATTTGATGCTAAAGAGAAATTTGGATCATTACGTTTCATATGGAGAGAAGGGATTTGAAGCATACTTCCTGGTAAGTTAGAATTTCGACAGCCCTGAGCCAAAAAATTATGGGAACCACAGTTTGATGCAGCCATGCAGGTGGCTTTAACCAAGAAAAAACTTGGGGACAAGTCCTGGAAAGCTCCTAAATAACAAAATAAAGAAAGGTGGAGGCATCCATGGAAATATTACGTTGTGTCCAAACCTAAAGTAACAATAAACCCGAATTGTTGAGATCAGCAGAAGTTGTCGGTCCAAGTCATCCATAGATGTTTCCAAGGCCAAGAACAATATGCAAACAGTTCGGAGTACTATTATAATTAAACTTGGAATTTAGTTAGCCGGAAAAGGAAACTGCAATTTTGGCATAAACGTCTGTTTCTGTTGGTTGAGAAGAAAAAAGATGGTCCAATGTTAAAAAAATTGAACATTTTACACTTGGGCATTAATAACCTCCAGCTAGATTTACTTGCAAATTTTGATCTCCTCTAGAAAATTTTCTAGCTTTGGTGCGCAAAGAAAGTTTGCCTACGTACGTTCTTCTTGTTTTGCAACATAATTCGTGATCCTAAGAGCGTACTTTCTTCTTGTTTTTGCCTACGTACTATAAGGAAGAAGTGAAGCTCGAATAACATCAATGTGCTATAAAAAGTGAAACCCTTTTTTAATTTATTTTCATAACAAAGAAAAAGGGTTAGAAATCACAGCGTTTCTTAATTACCTGATAATCTTGTTGACACAAGATGCTATAAGTTGCGCTTTAGAAATGAAAGATGAGTTTAAGATGCAGAAAGTACAATCGTGTCGTGTGTACATCACGATGAAGATAAATTTTTGATAAGTTGTGAACTTAATATGTTCGTTAATTTACTTAAGTCCTTTTTTTCCGTCAATATACTCTACTTCAGAATGTTATGGACTCAGATTAGGGTTCTAATGAAATTTACAGACTAACAAATATGTTTTAGATGAATTTTCTCAAAAAAAAAAAAAAAAAAAAGAGGCCAAAATTTAGCGTTCAACTAGCTCAAATTTAGATCAAGGTTTGATTTTGTTTTGGTTCTTGGGTAAGTAAGAATATGTTAGTACTCAAAGGAAAGTAGAACATACACGGGCAAGTCCAGTAAATCACTATAGTAACACAAAATGCTAATAATAATAAAACCCAAGACCTGCTACACTCCTCCACTGTAGTAGCTACGTAGGAGGCATAGCAAGAGAACAGCTACAGAGACAGTAGCAAACTTTACCTCTATGCTCGGCGACCAGAATGACAGAGTTTACATTGTTGTATCTGCAATAATACTACTAATATTTTAAAGAAGCCAAATATTGTACTACGATGACATTGGCCTTGTAATATGTCACAGTTGTTCAATTTTATAGTATTGTTTTTTTGTTATCTGGGAAAAATTTTCTAGTGTAGTATATCTTTACCTATCTATGTTACATAGACATATAATATCCTAGGGAAGCATAAAGCATATCCCTGAGACAAACAAAGCGAAAGCGAAACAACCAAGAATTGGACTGTCAAAAGAAATTGTTTGGAAGCCCGCCCCGTACTACTGCATGACATGCATAAACAAGCTCTTTGTCCATTTCTTGTTCCTAGTCTTTAACGTCCTTGGCTTTAGTTACATTTCTTGATGTCAAATTTCATTATTCCAATGTACATTTCGCTATATATAGTGTGCTAAACTGCTGGACAGAAGACACCAAGTATACCTCAAAAGAATTAACCAGGAAAAAGGCCACCCATTGCCAAAGATGTCCTCAAACAACCTGGCGGTGCTCAGTGCTCTCGACGGTGCACGTACCCAGTTGTACCATTTCAAGGCGATCGTGATCGCCGGGATGGGGTTTTTCACCGATGCATATGACCTCTTTTGCATCTCCACCATCTCCAAACTCTTAGGCCGTATATATTACACTGATCTGTCCAGTCCTAAGCCTGGAAAGCTTCCTCATGTAGTGAACAATTGGGTTACTGGAGTGGCCTTAGTTGGTACCCTAACCGGCCAGTTAGTCTTCGGATGGCTGGGAGATAAGCTAGGGCGCAAGAAAGTTTATGGCCTCACTCTCCTTCTCATGGTCGTTTGTGCTATTTGCTCAGGTTTGTCTTTCGGAAGCAGCCATAGATCTGTCATGGGAACCCTATGTTTCTTCCGCTTCTGGCTGGGTTTTGGCATTGGCGGAGACTACCCTCTTTCAGCTACTATCATGTCTGAATATGCAAACAAGAGAACTCGCGGGGCATTCATTGCTGCAGTGTTTGCTATGCAAGGAGTTGGTATCATTTTCGCAGGCCTCGTTTCAATGATTCTTTCCAAAATTTTCCTCAAATCGTACGGCGGTCCATCATACCATGCGGACCACAAATTATCCACTGAACCACAGGCAGATTACGTGTGGCGAATTGTTTTGATGCTAGGGGCTCTTCCCGCACTTCTCACATTCTACTGGAGAATGAAGATGCCAGAAACAGCTCGTTATACTGCCATCATAGAGGGAAATGCTAAACAAGCCGCTGCAGACATGGGTGGAGTTTTAGACGTTGAGATTCAAGCTGATCAAGACAAGTTAACACAATTCAGGGCTGCCAACGACTACAAATTGCGGTCAATGGAGTTTTTCCAGCGCCATGGACGTCACCTGATTGGCACGATGACTACGTGGTTCCTTCTAGATATTGCATTTTACAGCCAAAACCTAACACAAAAAGACATTTTTCCTACCATGGGACTTACAAGTGCTGCAGCTGATGTGAGTGCTTTGAAGGAAATGTTTGAGACTTCACGCGCCATGTTCTTAATTGCCCTGCTTGGGACCTTCCCAGGTTATTGGGTCACGGTCTTCTTCATTGACAAAATTGGTCGGTTCTACATCCAGCTAGTGGGGTTCTTAATGATGTCTATTTTCATGCTTATAATTGGAGTCAAATATGATTACCTCAACACCAAGGAGCACAAGTGGTACTTTGCAGCTCTGTATGGATTAACATTCTTCTTTGCAAACTTTGGCCCTAATAGCACCACCTTTGTTCTCCCAGCCGAGCTCTTTCCAACCAGGGTGAGATCCACCTGCCATGCCCTCAGTGCAGCATCTGGCAAGGCTGGGGCTATGGTCAGTGCTTTTGGAATACAAAACTACACGCAAGATGGCAACGTGCACAAAATTAAGAAAGCCATGATGATTTTGGCCTTCACAAATATGCTTGGATTCTGCTGCAGCTTTTTGGTGCCAGAAACAAAAGGTAGGTCACTTGAGGAAATATCAGGTGAGGATGCAGGCGAAAGTGAGGCGCAGATGACCGACAAACCACCTAAAAATCGACCAGATGCCTCCTGGGAGTGATCGTTCAATGATGTGAGTTTAGTGGCTGAAACTTCATTCATGATTCAGCTGTGTGCCACTATGAGTAAAATAAATATAGTAATATATAGTTGTGAATAATTGGCAAAAGACGATGTCATCTCAGGTACTGCTTTCCACAGCTCCCACAAATAAGAACCCATAGCGCCCTGATCTTCATGTATGATTATCAATGCAAGCAAGCGTCTTTTTTTTTTTTTTTTAAAAGTTGTTTTATTTTCGTTTTTCTTTTCATGAAATTATGAGTCATGAAAGCAAACACATAGATATATAAGCCATAAAAGTCTCTTTTGGCCATAGCTCTGTATAAGTTTCTGTTGTTCAATGTAATCGTTCTTTTACAACAATTGCCTTGTTTCCTCCTTTCTTTCCCCGACCCAAAAAACAGCATAGAACCAAAACAATGATAGAAACATTATTTATCATAATACTGACAATAACAAGATCGGGAAAAAAAAAATCTACAGTCCAGGACAAGGATTCAATGCTTTGAGTCGTAATAAATGATTAAATTCTGTCAATCAGAGGTGAAACGGTCAAAAAATTGTCAAGATTTTAGAACTCATTTTTAATGATGTTTGAGACTTGTGAAGTTCGCATGAAGAGTAATGAGTTAAACACAAACATCGTCATCAACCTCAAGCAGCAAATATCCAGTCATGTAAATTGATGCTTGAAACATCATAGACGCCACCTAGTAATTTGCACACATATACTTGTTCTAGAGTTCAGGATCATAAAGCCTATCGCCTGTCATAAATTTTGTACCAGATGATGATACAACTAAATTTTTTATGCTGAAGTAAAAGTCGATCATTGGTGGAGAATGATTCAGCTGACAAAGGCAAACAAATAGCTAAACTCAAGATTTATGATAGCACTTGCCATATTTGCTGCAAAACACATTTTCTTAGATTACGCAGCTATTCACCTTATCAGACTGACAAAAGTGTTGCATTATTCATCTAATGAGCTTCACTGATGAATTCATTGCATTATCATCTCCAGGTGCAATAGTGCTAGAGGTATGGTAGTTTGTACATCTGACAAGCTTTTAAGTCTAGATTTGACACATTCATGGCTTGATATGCAATTGAATATCTGATGCCAGTAGCCTCCAGGCATAAGGATTGGCTCCATGGTTCTGCGATTTAAATGGTAGCTCTGTAAATTATATGTCTAGTTAAAGCATCTCTTTAGCTGTGAGGTTTTGCACAAACCTGAATCAGATGTTGTTTTTGAATTAAAATTCCACAGAACTGACAAATGATTCATTAGAATAAAACCAGAAATGGAACAAAATATATGCAAATACACCAGTAAAACCATTCAACTTCTTAACTAGTCATTTGACAGGTCCCGTAATAATTTGATTTCAGTATAGGAACTAACGATGATGAACAAATAATACACGTACAACGCAAAGTGGGTTGCTACTTTTTATAAAGGATTGGCATACAGGGGAACTTTCAAAAATAAGGTCTACATGTATCTCTGTCTCTCATCTTCTCCATTCGATTGACAAACCTCCTGGTGCATAAAGCAAGAAAACTGCAGTCTGCAGAGGCTGTTGGGTTTTAAGGATAAAGGTGCACCAACACCGTCTCCATGAAAGCTGCTAGCAGCACTTTTCATCAGGTTCAATGTCTTAGGGTAATGATCCTTCTTGTTCATCATACATAATTCTGAAGGGTTTTGGATTGCTTGATCATGTCCATCATTGTGTGCTCTCTTTGTCATTATCTAACAAATCAAAAAAACAGAAAGAGATTTCGGTAACAGCAAAAAACATAAAGGAATACAGAGACACAGAAAGAACAGGAATAAGGACTTAGAAATGTCAAAGCATGCCACTGTATATTGCATAGCATTTATTTCATTCAGCAACCGCATGTAAAGAAGAAAGGAATATCAGGCTTTATATCGATCCTGGATCTAATGAAGGAAAAGAAAAGTTAAAGAATATTTGCAAAAACAATTTCTAGCAAATTTCTTCTCATCTTAATGCAGATCTTAATCTAAAATGGTTTTAATTCATGATAAATAACTAAGATACTTGACTGTAATTGATGTATAAACTTGAATATTCATTTTGAAGTTTTGCTCATAATTTTTTTCTTCTTTTCTTTCCTTGAAAATGTAGAACACAAGAAAATGATTTTCTTTTCCCCTTAGCGTTTACTGTCCTCTTGTCGCCAAATTCTCAGTTTCAAATCAAACTTCAGTGACTCAAAGGAGTTCAGAAAATCACCATTTCTAAGAATTTCTTTTACTGTGCCACGGTGAACTGGATTACCACTCACAATCATCAATTTAAATACCTTGTAGACTTAGTAAGGTCAAAACTCTAAGAGGAAAACTAGCAGAATGACTTCTTCAAGTATGTATGAACATAAGATAAACCAGTTCTTGCAAATCAGAGTGTATTGCAGTACATTCAAAATACTTAAACAGCATATGGTCATATCTATAAAAGCATGTATGGATTGTCAATGTGACACGTGCTTATATATTTATATGTATAGCTGTAGTATCTACAAACATGAATGGTAAAAGCAGGTACCTTGAGTTACAATCCTCTGGAGTCTGGACCAAGAATTCACACTTCGCCTAAACACAAAAGGTCCTTGGTTGCTATAGCAACTAGATTTGCGTATCTGAGCAAATGAAGATCTAATCCCACAAAAGTATAAGAAACACCTCTGTTGTGTTTCAAGCATTGCTACCTGCACACGTGATGGGAGGAATACATCATTAACTTTGAATGTGTGGCCACTGACCTTAGCTAGATATATGCAATCAAATACAGATCCATTCTACTGAATACTTAGGAAAGAAATAGATGGAGGACAATAGGGAAGAAAGCTTACACTGACTTGGATAATGCGTCAACAAATCTTAAGAAATCTAATAACTCATATGAGATGCAGGTGGAAATGTGGAATGAACTGCTCAATCCTCTGGACCAAGTAGTCGCACTTCGCCTAAACAAAAATGTCCTTTGTTGCTGTTGCAACTAAAATTATTTAGCAGAGCGAATGAAGATCTAATCCCACAAAAGTATAAGAAACACCTCTGTGTGTTTCAAGCATTGCTATCTGCACATGTAATAGGAGGAATATATCATTCATTTTGAATGTGTGGCCATTCACGTTAGCTGGATATATACAATCAAATACAGATCCATTCTACTGAATACTAAGGAAAGAAATAAATGGAGGACAATAGGGAAGAAAGCTTACATTCACTTGGATTATGTGTCAACAAATCTTAAGAAATCTAATAACTCATACAAGATGAAGGTGGAAATGTGGAATGAATTGCTGTTTTGCTCCATTAAGACCTCAGTTCCCAGCTGTCGAAGGACCACCAAATTTTCAAACAGTATTTCAAAAAGAACCAGAAAGACATAAAATAGAATCTGCTTAACATACTACCACAGATGGTCAGTAGTTCCCAATTCAGAAACTTAGAAATTACAATTTTTAAAATACTACACAAATATTGCATGTTCAAATAGTCAACCGAATTGCAGAAAATAGAATATCACCAATAAAGTCTACACTTAAGTTTAATCAACCCAACCACATCACACACCTTGGGAATAACCATGTGCTACATCATGACAAGCTATTACCTTAATCGTGATGAACTCTTCCTGACTGAATAATCTGTGGAATGCCAGGCATCAACTCAACCATTACCAGTAGTCTCCACAAGAACAAGAGCCACCACGAAAATGATGAAATCGGTTAGTATCTCTCAAAATGATTTCTCTGCCCACCAGCTGTGAGACAAACTTGAATGCTGTATGGCAATCACCACATACTCTAATGTTTTTCTTGATGCGAATTGTGGACCCATGAGGTGTATTGAGGAGAGCAAATGCTAGAGCAAGCTTTTCACTATGGCACTGCAACCTCACTTCCCTCTCCTGTTGGTCCACGTACCAAAGCACATGACTAGTGTCCGGGACATACCCAATTTCTCTAATTTTATCAGCAATCTTCTCCCACATCCTACGAACCTCATTTCTCTGTGGGTGGGAATCATCATTTGCCACAAACATATGGACATTATTCTCAATCTCTAACCAACTACATGCAGGTTCCTTTTTTACGCCACTGTCATTCATCATTTTTCTCACATTTGCAGCATCCCTCAATCTACCAGCAGAGGCATAGATGTTAGACAGCAATATGTGAGGTCCAGAATCATATGGATCAAGTTCAAAAACCTGCTCTGCAGCATAAGCACCTAAATCTATGTTCTTATGCATTCTGCAAGCTCCAAGCAGCGCTTTCCAGATTGCTGCTGTGGGTTTGATTGGCATTTCCTTTATGAACTTTTCAGCATGGCCAAGTTGACCGGCACGACCAAGCAAATCAACCATTGTCACGTAATGTGAGATATCCGGTTCTAATTTCAATTTCTTCATCAATTCAAAGTAGTATAGTCCTTCCTCTAAAAGCCCAGAATGGCTGCAAGCAGTTAGAACACAGAGGAAGGTTACTTCATTGGGTAAAATTCCCCTGCTACGCATTTCCTCAAAGCATTCTACAGTTTCCCTTCCAAGTCCATGTTGCGCACAAGCAGTAAGCATTGAGTTCCATGAAACCACATCGCGTTTCACCAGCCTATCAAAAACCTTGTGAGCATCCTCGATGCTACCGGCCTTCCCATACATGTCAAGAAGAGTATTCCCAACAAAAGCTATAAGCTTTAACCCCGATTTCACCAAATGCCCGTGTACCCATTTTCCCTGCTCCAAAGCTCCAATACTTGCACAAGCTGCAAAAACACTAGAATACGTGAAATGCGTGGCCTCAAAACCTGCCTTTTTCATCTCCGAAAACAGCCTCACTGCAATCGCAGCCTCACTCTTCCTAGCGTGGCCTGCAATCAAAGCATTCCAACAAACCTCATTCTTGCTCATCAACCCGTCAAACACCACTTTTGCCTCTTCCATTTGGCCACACTTCGCGTACATATCAACAAGAGCACTCCCAACATACACATCATCACCATGACCGCTTTTTAAGCAAACCGCATGAATTTGCCTGCCCTCCATCTCCCCAACAGCAGTCGCCGCCTTCAACACACTCCCCAAAGTAAATTGATTCGGCACGAATCCATCCCTCAACATCTCCACAAACAAACCCAACGCTTCCTGGGCTCTATCGTTCTGCGAAAACCCAGTAATCACGGCAGTCCAAGAAACCATATCCCTCTCAGCCATTTCATCAAACACCTTGCGCGCCTCAACTGGCGACCCACATTTGGCATACATATTAATTATCGAGTTTTGCACAGCAACATAGTTACGATAACTGGAATTCAGGACATGGGCATGGACGAGCCTTCCTTCCTTCAGCCTCCCCAGCTGGGTACAGCGTTTAAGGAGTTGGTTGTAGAGAGTGGCGTTTGGGTCCATCGCACCATTATCGATGAGGCCCAGCACGTAGAGACCATTGGGGGTCTTCCTGAGAAGGTCTTTGTCTTGGATTATCCCGCCAAAAGATGCTCCGGTGAATCCTCCGATGTCGTCTTCTAAGTCTAAGGGGGCAGTGGCGGCGGAGCTGGCGAAATGGCGTGAAGAGAAGAGGACTGTTTTCAGTATTGAATCGGAGAAGGGCGGATTTGTTATATACCTTTTCATCTATGCCGATGCCGAGTTACGCTGCTATTGTACACCCGGTTTTTCAAGCAGCGGCGTTACTGACAGTTGAAATTTAACGGCCAGAAGGGGTATTTTCGCAAAATTCAATTATGAATAATTCGTTTTTTGGCCCAGGCAATGAATAATTCGTTTTTTGGCACTATCCAGTATCCACTCCACGAATTAGCTTAAGAGCTATTTTTGTGTCACCTAATCATCCAAGATTGGGCTTAGGAAATTTGTTCACGTAACTACTAGTGGAATATTAATTTTATAACAATCAAGTAAAAAATTTCTATTTAAAATTGAAATTAATTCTTTATTTATTGATAATAAACTGACAAAAAGGAAAAAAAAAATACTTGTTAATTCTTTTGTTATTCATGATTGGCCAATTTCAATGTTGCACGATATGTTAATTGTAAAGTGTGAACTACACAATAGCTCAATTAGTCCTTCATTTTCTTTTTATTTCGGTTGAGCTAATTAAATTAGCATCCTTTTCTACTGTAAATGAGGTATAAAATCTCTTCTATTAATAAGATGAACTAGAAACTACCCAATATTTCCCTTCCACCTTGAATCATGGATAACCATTTTTACGGCATACATAACAATTAGAATTTAATTTAATATCCTGCATATAATTCACATATAATATATCCGTCGAGAAAACGTTTATCTAGTGATTAAAATTGAAATTCAAGAATTTAGAAGCCTTAAATTCGAATCCTCGCTCCCCTCCTCCCTTCTTAAATCCTACCGCTTTTCTATTAGAGGGGAAAGAATCCACACACGTCCAGCCTTGTTTTTTTTTTTTTTTTTTTTAATTGGAAATCGCGTCCAAGCTTGTTTGATTATCTCTAATTTTTCATTGCCAAAATAAGCATAAATTGTAAGTTTGGGGTGCCATTCTGCATGAATCAGAATCAAGAGAATCCCCTTACAAAGGATCAAATGGTGGGGTGGGTTGGACTTGGACCCTATGAAATCGCCATCATTCACACAAAGTTAGTGAACAACAGCCGAGGTAGTCACCGTTCATTAGTAACAGCATCCAAAAAGTTCTCATTGGTGCAAATCAAAGAAACTTTTCTCTTCAACTCACACACTTGAAGCAGTCACAATGAATCAAGTTACATCCAAGCCAACTAGCCGTTTAGTCACTTCTCAATAAAATTCTACATTGATATGACATTCTTCCTCAAGACATGACGACAACTTTGGTAGACAAGATTATGACGGTGGTGCTGATTCTTTTGCTGTTGGTTTTCCGGGCTCTAGCACAAGATCGAAGCCATGGCAACCCTGATCTTGAAGCCATTTTGGGTGGCGATCGGGAATCTTCCCAAAATTCAAGATATGATGTTGGGGTACCTCAATACAGAGTTAAGAACAGACGCCACGAAGATATGCCCTCGACTTGAACATAATATACTCGATCTCCAGGATTATCTCCAACATATGTACTATGGTTCTAGGTTTGGAAACTTTCTTTGACGCAGTCTTTTTTCTGTTTTTTGCTTTTTGCCTTCTCTTATATATATGCTTCTTTTTCCTTGTTAGGTTTGGTGCTTCCACATTAGACGTTTCAGTTTGGATAGAAGTTTTGGAAATAATACCCAAAACTTCTACCATGTAGACGATTGCTGCAGTAGTATTTGCTCTAGCGCACTTGTGTAAATAAAATGTTTGAAGATTGAAACCTTTATGATTTTTTTTTTTTTTTTTGTGGATATAAACATGCTAGCTATTTGCCAACAATGACCCTAGAGGGCTGTATCTATGATAAGTAATAACTTCTCTATGATTAACATAGCAATAAAACTGTACCTGATATGTTGCATTGCTACGAACCATGAAGTCAGTGAACCTCAGTTCAGTCTTGAAATGAGACCAATTCTTCATTTCTTTCAGATAACTTCACAATGGCAGACAATTCTTTGTCAGTGATCGGAGAGAATAGATCCAAACCAGGACCATCCACCCGATCCAAACTTGAAAGATTCGAGTGCAAAAGTTATTATTATTTTATGTCACTGCATAATATTCCATTTGCTCGTAATTTTTCCTACCACAGGATTTTGCTTGTAGAATTTGCTACTTTTAAAAATTGAGCGTGTATCACGTGGAGTTTTGTCTAGTATAAACATTTGCCACCTTTATTCTCTTGCAATCTTTTCATATAGCACATCAACGTTTTTTCGTTGTTCCTCCGAGGTAGCCGATCTGGTGGTGTAGTCCCTAGTTAGGGCATCCACCAGAGTTACCCTTGTAATAAAAATAGAAAATAACCCAACAATTCAAATAAGGGTTGGATCTTAAAGTGAGATCAGGTCTTTTTTTTGAAAAAAAAAAAATCAACGTTTTTCACGTTAATCAGTATAAACGTGATTAACGCACAAACAATCAAATCATACAACAGTTGGTTGCACTAATTCATTTCATCGCCTACAACTTTTCTGGAATTGGAATATGGGTTTCTTTTACACCAGAAACTTATTTGGATTCCTACGGTTTGGCCTTTTTTTTTTTTTTTTTTGGTGGGGTGGGGCGGAGGGGAGGGATTTTTTTGTTTTTTCATGAATTCTTCTTTTACATGTTTTTTCAATTACTTTTCTATCTCACACATATTATGTCTTAAAAAGTACTACAATAATTTTCATGCAGAAATCTCAAAAAAAAAAAAAAAAACAAAAAATGCAGTCTAAACAACATCTTATCACTGGGGTATTTAGATTTTCTATATCTTTTCTTGGTTTATCTTACCCTTTTTCATAACTTGGCAATTGACTAATATTCTATAGGACGTACAATACCACCTAACATGCTACTAATTTTCTCTTCATTTTAAGAGTATTTAAGAAAGAAAATGCGTTGTAAAGCAAATGACTAGTGAACTAAATGAATCAAATAAATCTAACAGCAATATCATACGAGGCTTTGTGTGTATTCTAACGAATTCATACCAATATTACAGCTTACTTGGATTAGAAACGGGAAAAAATTAGTGGTTTTAGATCCTGTTTAATAACTTAATAAATTTAATGGATTTAAATCTTAATATATTCAGACTGTTTCATAATAACAAATTAAACATTTGAATTAATTAAGTGGCACTAAATTTATTAGGCAAAACTTGCTTCAAAAATTAAAAGATAAGTTATTTACTTATCACTGAATGTAATGTGCATTCAAATGTATTAGATTTAATACTTAACAATTCAATAACTTAATGGATTCAAATTTCAGATTTCAGACCTCAATTTTCAAATATCAATTTTATCAAATGCACTTTTAGTTCTGTACGAATTTCATTTTATACGACAATTCTATTTTGCCATTAAATATCCAAAATTATAAGGTTCTAAAAACACAAGGCACCAAATTAAATGCACTATAATTAAATATAGGATATGCAGTAGTTGGAGTTTGGTAAATATATAAAGGATCAAATATGCTACTTTTGAAGCATACAGGATGAAATTGATATGCTAAACTTCAAATGCAAAGAATCGTAAAGAAGCTAGTCCAAAAGACAAGGGACTAAAATTGTGATCCTCATTTATCGCTTTAAATAATACAAGATCATTCTTAAATCTAGTTTAATCCAAGGGATGCTCGAGCTTCACCATAGTGGGCATGGAATCAGAATATGTTTATGGTAAAGTCTAGTTCACATTTTGAATCCTTTTTGACTCAAGAAACTTCTTCTTTATCAATAGACAACAATCACAATGCCACTGACTCTACCGGCACCCTTTCCTTCATCTACACTTATAAATTCACCTCCCTCTTCTCTTCTTCACCAACAAAACTAAACAAGTACAGATTTCTTGATAATTAATCCCTCCCATCCCTCAGTACTTCCCACCTCAAAAATTTTTCTATAAAGTAATGGAAGTTGAATATGGCAAGACGTTGGTGGAAAACCGAAACGCTAGGCTTCCTCCAGAGAGAGGGCAGATCAAATGTATGATAATCCAGGGGTTAGTGAAAAAAGTGGCGACTGTCACGAGAGGAAAAAGAGAAGGTGGCTACTGAAGTTCTGCTACGAAGATGTTATCTCCTGCTACGAAGATGTATGATACATATATATATATATATATATTTTGAGATCATATAGAGAGCTCATGATGTTAAAGTCTTGAAATCACAATTAAATCTCTTGATTTTCTCTTGTCATTTTCTCTTTTGATTACATGTGGGGTGCCTCGATTTTTCTTATACCGTATTAGTTAGTTTGCAGCAGTATGCATTTTTCATAAAGCATTCAGCGAAAGTTGATTAGTTTTATTTTTGTTTGATAAAGATGAGAGGAAATTGAGACATATCCCCTATTCTCATATATTCCTTAAAACTAAGTTAAAAATTAATACAACATGCCGTAATTTAATTGCTGATGGATATAGCAAACAAAGTGTGTAATTCTTTCTTTTTATTTATTTATCTCTGGGTGTCAAAAACGCATGGCAATGCAGACTAACATCATGAAATGAAATTTCAAAACAAAAGCAACAATGATTCTCCAATTAATCAACTTACACGTTAATTAAATGATCGTGAGATCTCTCGTTCCACTTTCAAATTCCCTCATCTATTATTCCTTTCAAATACATGTTGTACTATGTGTTTTCCATCTTTCTACTTTTTTTTTTTTTCTGACACAGTGGGTATCCGGGATTCGACAGATTATATTTCCGGGTCCGACTATTTTCACTGCGCTTGGGCCTCCACCTCCCAGAAGACACAAAACGATAATAGGGATTGAACCGCGACCACCCGGTGCCATGACCTGATGAGGCTCCCAACACTAGCCGAGCCAACCCCGGGGGTCCGTCCATCTTTCTACTTATTAACTGCTTGTACCTTGTATAAGTTTGAATCTTAAACTAATACCAACGCAGTTCCGGGAAATCATCCATTTTGCCTCCGTCTAGAAATTGTCGACCGGCTTGCTTAATTAGCACGATTCAAGAGCCACGAAAAAAAGTATAAAATTTACATGATTGAGCTTTAACTTTTTGATCTACCAATATGCTAATTGAAATGTTCCGACAGTGTTTGGGGATTTA